TAGTAATATGGCCTGTTACTAGGCTGCAGACAGCCAAAGTCAAACTTACCACCAAGCACTTCAAAAGTAACGCAGATGAAACTGGGTGAGATCCGATCTTCTCTTTACCCTACATATTTTCTTTTCCTTTAAAAGCTACCGAAGTATCTTTCCCCCTGTGAGGAGAGAGGGAAGGGAATTTCTATCCCACCCTCTAAGAATAGCGGCAACTGACTACCCAGGTGAATTAAAGCACTAAAAGAATATCTTTAATCTAATTGGATTTATATGTTCCTGAAACTTGGGGACCAAAATTTTTCCTATTGTTATTGGAGACTTTTGCTTTTATCTACAAGAAAGAAATAAAACTGGAAAAAGCAGTATAAAAATTTTGGACTTAAAAATCTTTAAACGGCATCTGTAACATCTTGTGGTGAAGTTTGGTATTACAACTTGTTATTTCCTAAAAGAGACTTGGCTCAAAGCCCAGACCTTAGATAAGACTCTTCTGATCTTGGCACCACCTGTGAGAAACCCAGATGTAAAAGAACAGCTGGGCGGCATAACTGACCTACTTGAACTGTGAATGTAAATCTTTATTGACTTTCAGAGTTATATATGGGGAATTGCCTTCCTATCTCTTTATTTGAGGAATACTGGTTACTATATGAGATGATGAAATACCTTGGACTATAAAATCTTGCTTGACAAATGACTTCTACTATAAAGACTATTTAAAAAAAGTGAAAGTGATGGATGAGGACCAGGAAAAGATTCTTTCCATGTTGAAAGCAATACATGAAACCATTCTTTCAGCTTGTGACGAAATAAGATGTTACAGAAAAGAACAAGATGTCAGCTTAGATATACAAACCCAAATTCCAACTACAACTAAAGAACTAACATTACAGAAGGTAACAGAAGAAGTGGAACAATCAAATACTAAGACTACAAATACTAATACAGTCAATGGAATATCCAGAAAAGGAACTGACAACACTGAAAATGGAAAAGACTTCCTGTATAAACCAGAAGAAATTTGAGGAGCAAGAAGAAGAACAGAGTGAATGGATGATAAATATACCAGGACAATTATGGGGATTTGGAATAATAGGGAGATGATTTAAGGAATACAAATAGGCTAGCCCTTCCAAAAAATGGCAACTAAATGGTATCTCTTATTCCAAACAATATATATAATAATATAGGGAGATCTATTTGATGATTTAAAAGCCTTGACATGGAAAGCTAGTTGGCAAAGAAAGAAAGCCAGAATAAGGCTGAAGAAAATTGGGGTTTTGATTTATTAGAGGGGGTTTCATATTACTAATTAGAGGGTCAAAGGGAGAAGTTGAGATAAGAGAAATTTTGGTCATTAAATTTAAAATATTTGGAAATTAATCAAAAATAAGGATGCTATTTGTTTAATACTTAAAAATTAGATCCAAAAGAAAAAAATATTATGAATATGTTTGATTTATTAACTCAGACAATATATATAATGGGCTTTGATTTATTAAATGGGATACTGTATTATTAATTAGATAATGTAAGATGGGGGAAATAGATAACTTTTAGGAAATAGAAATAGGAAATAGAACAAGATTATACCAAAATAGATAAGATGTATTTTGAATATTAGATTCTTTTATGAATTGAGATAAAGGAAACTTTGGGTACCTAAAACCTGGAAATTATAAATATCAAATGTTAACTCTGAATATATTGATGGGAAACTAAAATTGGGAAAAACCAATAACAGGACATTGATTGAATGTAAAGATTGAATGTAAAAGTAATTAAGATATGTATAAGCTAAAATTTTATTGATAAATGTAACAATGATGTTTTTATTTAGTTGATATAATAAGAACTGTATTCGCTTAAATATGAGATAGTAGATATTAAGAGAAAAAGAGAGGAAATATTTGAGGTTGTAGTTTGAGATTTGTACTAAAAAATTTTGTATGTTACTGAATTATTGATTAACCCAGCCACCACATTGCTTTTTAAATACCTAAATGTAAAGTTAGAAAATTAAAAAAAACAAAAACAAAAGTAAATCTCCCCAACAGATCTCTCTCACATATGCTCTCATTTCATTCCAGAAGAAACTGAAAAACCACCAAAGTGTTACTGCATAATGTTTTGTTTTCAGAAAGCAAATGCTACATTTTTCCTAATTTCCTTTGACCATTCAATCACACACGTACCTACTGTAATTGCTTTTACAGTGGATATCTCTGAACAAATGAATTGCTAAAAGACACCTACTGATCAGTTAAATAAAGCAGATATATTTAAAAGAAGCTGTACTGCTAATGAATGTACAACACCTAGAACGTAGACGGCATATAACAATACTAACAGCAATCACAAAAGGATTTTGTTTTGTTGAAATTCTTCTAAGCTATATCGTCATCAACTTATTTTAACAATTGGACTAAAAAAAATAACTGCAACATGGGATAAATCAAATGGTTTTGATTTGATTTCTCCTCCCATCTTCTTTTTTCTTTACATAGCAATAAGGACCCAAATATATGCATAATATTTTGACATTTATTACCCTTCCTCTTGGTCAAAGCTTATTAACAAAATCAGGACTTTTCCTAGGGATTTAGGTAATCAGCACTAGTATTATTATATACAAACTCTTCCCAGGTCAGCCTATAAAGATTCACGTATTTCATCTATGCTGCCAGTTTATAGTACAATCTACCTGAAATAGCAATAGCATTTAGGCTTATATAAAGTCCCACAGCGCTTTACAACACTCTCTGGGTGGTATATAATAAGCATTATAAAAATGCCTCTTGAGCAAGCCCCTTATATTTCATTTTTCACCCCCCCCCAATCTGTTCTTTTGCCTTTGTTTCTTCAAGCTGTTTCCAGAATATATTCTCTGATACTTTTGTGATGCCATACATCAGGATTAAGCAACTTGTTTTCTGTTTAAAAGTAATAGTTCCCAGCAAAATCATCTGTTGGAAGTTGCATCATATGTCAAGGCAAACGCCAAAGGGAACAGGACCCCCTGTGCTCTCTCAGATACTTTTTTTCATTTCTTCTCTTTTTTAGAGATACACTTTTCGTTCTTTTCCTCCTCTTAACCGTAGCACACTGCAAACAGCTGGTGCCAGAAGTCTGCATTCATCCCTAACAGAGGGCTTCTGAAAAAGGCCAAGGGTTGCAGGAGCTCGTCTGCCTCAGCAGTAATAATGTTGTTCTCACAAAAAGAGTGGAATGTGGACACTGTGCCATTTCTAATTTCTTTTTGACCGTTCTTACTTTCTGTTCTCCAACCCCATTCCATTTGCAAGAGAAGCAATCATCCAGCAAATCAGAATTACATTTAATCACAATGGAAAGATGGTCCATTTTTCCCATTTACTATCTTCAGCAGCTGACTAGTGATATTTAAGTTAGCCTCATGGCAGGAGGAGGTAAACGTTTCCTTTCGCTAAAGTGTTGGCATTATATACCTCCAATATTTTTCCAAGTTAACATTCCTCTCTTTCCTTCAAACTCAATTACAAATAGTCCTCAACTTATAACCACAATTGAGCCCAAAATTTCTGTTGCTAAGCAAGACAGTTGATAAGTGAATTTTATCCCATTTTATGACTTTTCTTGACTCAGTTGTTAAGTGAATCACTGCAGTTGTTAAATTACTACTACGGTTGTTAAGTGAATCTGGCTTCCCCATTGACTTTGCTTATCAGAAGGTTAAAAAAGGTGATCACATGACCCCAGGATACTGCAACCGTTATAAATAGGAGTCAGTTGCCAAGCGTCTGAATTTTGATCATGTGACCATGGGGATGCTGCAATGGTTGTGTGAAAAATGGTCATAAACCACTTTTTCCAGTGCTATTGTAAGTTTTAATGGTCACTAAATGAAATGTTGTAAGTTGAATTTAGAATTCTGATAATTGTTCTGAATAACTAGCAGGAAATGCCCAGAATTGTTGTTTCTCCTGCAGATTCTTAAAAGATCAGAAAAACAAAATAAAAAATAGACACAATTTTTCCAAGCACATTTCAGCAGAAATTTAGGGGAGATAAGGCAGAATCAAGACAAGCTTCTGAATATAATCCAAACTGTTTCTCCATGACATTGTATCATCAATGAGCAGATTTCATGCTGCCTAAGGGCAAAATTCTTGATGTGCTTCCATGCAGCTTATATTTGTTAAGTTGTTTTTTTAAGCTGTGTTCCTTCAAGCACAGATTGGTTGTTTCTAATTTCCTCAATCTTTGGCATACTATGATACCATAAACTGTGAAACTGGCACTATTTCTTGTATCTTTTTATATTAAGTAAACACTAGACATTCTCCTTTGGAGAAGCTATTCTTATGGCCTGCAGAAGCCATTCTGGATAAGAAGATAGCAAAAGACTCATTCACCTTTTTTCTACTTGCTGGAGATAATGACAATACTTACAGACTTAGAAATTAAGATTTCCTTCCAAACACTCATTCTATGAAATCCTGTTCTGTTTATAGATCTAGTTTATACAGATCTCCTAATTTTTCACACAGGTGGTAAAAATATTTGGGTGCTACAGTATAGCAATTTGGCATACAAATAGGAGATCATATGATTCAATATGACTTTACAGAAAAAGATTTCTTTACATACAAAGCAAGCATGTTAGGCTTAGATAAAGAGAGATAAGGATTATTTTCTGTGTGAAAGGAAGAGTGATTAGTCATGTGACTTCCCATTTAATACATATGCATACATATCATTATTATCATTATCATCATCATTATTATTATTGAAAAACCAATGAAGGTAAAAAATCCAACAGAATAGTACTTAACAGAGACTTAATATTTTTATCAACATGCTTTAAATGTCACAGGATATATCTTTCTATTACTTTCCACACTAGATGATAAGAGTCTTTTGTTTTCCAGAACTGTGAATCCATAAATTCAAAGTCATCCAATGCAATTCCCAGATTAATAATTGGAAAATATTTTCCGGTATATTTAAAGCAGAGAGCCTACCTTATTATGCTCATAATTGTATGGGATTCTGAGTGTATCCATAGCTCTGATCATGGACTGCATTGCTGTAAATATATTCTGATACACAAGCTTTGTGAACCCTCTTTTGTCTTCATCAGAGTATCCTGAACCGTGGATGATTCTCATTTGTTTGATAAATGTGCTTTTGCCACTTTCTCCTGTACCTGCAAAACATTTGAAAATAGATGCATCATTAGATTACAATGGTTGTAGCAAAAGCATCAGCTCCACAGCTTTACTTGCCTAATTTAAGAATTACACTAATAAAATAATATAAACCCTAACAATTAACTTATTCTATGTCACAATACTAGGTTAACGAGTTAAATCAAATCTAAAACCTTGTCATATTAAGCGTTACTTAATCTCTACCTTGTTATCATATGAAGAAAAAGAAGTAATTTGCACCTAACAATGAAACATTTTATATACAGTATAAATCTCATTTTCCAAGTGAGAATATTCTGTCATTCATAATCAAGTAATTAGTTACTTCATCACAGTACCACTAGAACCTTTATGTGATAATGAAATACAGAAAAATATCCATATCATCACAAAATAGCTTTAGATCCCCCCCTCACAGTGAATTTTAAAAATATTTTGCTCAAAAATCCCCACCTATGTTCACACCTTAGAATTAGTTTTAAAAATTTTGTTACATTGCATTTGAAAGTATTTATGTGCCCTTGCCCCTTTCCTATAAGGGACTCAAGTAAACGTCTTTTCTACAAGAAAACATTTTACAAACATACAAAGTGTAGAAGACACTATTTAGATGACATAACAGCAGAGAGGCAATGCTTCTATTTTGGTGTCACAATGAACAAGCTCATGCACTAAAAAATAAATAAACTCATATTCATCCCGATTTCACTCTAGATTAGAGGTCTCCAACCTTTTTGTTTTGGCGGCCCAGAAAGGTAGGCAGGCAGGCACCGCTATGTGCGTGCATGCAAATGGACTGCGCACATGTGCATGCAAAAATGACCCCTCACACACGTGCATGCACACAAACAGCAGCACGCAAGCACATGTGCAAACAGGGCTACATGGGTGCGAGTGCTGCAAATGGGGTGGTATTATCGCTGGCGGAATGCTATGGGTGGCGCTAGAGCCAGTGGGACGCTCAGGGGCGGGTATAGCACTGGTGGGATGCTCCAAGCGGCATTAGCGCCAGTAGGACGCTTGAGATGGCGTTAGCACCAGTGGGATACTCGGGGTGGTGCTAGTGCCGGCAGGACGCTTGGGTGTGGGGCGGCGCTAGCACTAGCGGGTTGCCTAGGATGGCGCTAATGCTGGTGGGATGCTTGGGGATGGGGCAGAGCTAGCACCAGCGGGATGCTCGGGGTGGCGCTAGTGCTTGTGGGACGCTTGGGGTGGGGTGGTGCTAGACCCGTGGGATGCTCGGGGCGGTGCAAGCACAAGTGTGCACTGGCCATCTCTTCACAGCCTGGTGGTCAAGCGGCTGTGGCCTGGTAGTGGGCTACGGCCACAGGTTGGGATGCCCTGCTCTAGATGTTTAAAGTAGATGTCCCAAAGGAAAATAATTCTATACATCAGCCATTCAACTAATTTTTTTTATATATATCCAGGATGAAAATTAGAAAAAGAAGAACATCCAAAATTTGATTTAAGGACATCCAAAATTTGATTTAAGGACATCCACTAATGAAATGAGTGACTTTTAGCAATTCTGCAGTTTATGTACCCTCAACATTATTTTGATATGATATGCTATGGTGTGATATATGATATGGTACGATATATATGTTGTTATATGATATTATGTTAGACTTAGGAGTTCAGAAGGTGTTATCAGGCAAAGAATAGTTTTTTAAAAAGGTGAACGAAGTATAATTTCTGTGTTTCTCTAGATTCTATCCTAAACGTACTACTCATAAAGACATTATGGCTAAACTGGTTACACAACAAGCAGTGGCAAATCCATCTAAGGAAAAAATATGAAATATACTCGATGTGAACAAAGATATGCATAAAATAGTTATAAGTTTTCAGAATTTCCATAACAACATAAAAAGTAATGTATGCTGTTTTCTTTAGCAGCAGGCATTTTTACATAAAATTTGGTATAGCATATCTTTAGGTGAGGTCAGTCTCTTCTGACCATTGGCATTGCTTATGAACATATAGAGCATATGTATCAGATAGGAAAGGCAATTTGTAAATATTTTAAAGAACTTGAAAATATTTCACTATATTTTATCTGACATAATAATATCTCCTTGACCCTTACAAACAGCAATCCCCAACTTTGTGGCTTGGTGGCCCAGCTGGGACGGGAGAGAGGAACTGGGCCGTGTGAGCGGCTGGCTGGTGTGTGCACGTGTGCAGCTTGACTTGTGTGAGTGGCAGGCTGGCACGCACACACATGCATGTGCAGCTCAACCTGCTGAGCCGCTGCTCACACAAGTCTAGCTAAGCCCGCGTGCTGCCCTCCTAATTGCACGGCCTGGTTCTGAATAAGCCGTGGCCCTGGGGCTGGGGACCCCTGCCTTATATGATTCAGAGAGAATCAGAAGTAGACCTCAAATGTTTCTATCACAAATGCTCAGATTTTTACACCTCTTAATATTACATGTTAGCAACCAGCTACTTTCAGAAAATTGAGTCTTAGACTAATTACAAATAGAATACCTTCAACAGGTAAATCTACATAGTATTTACTGTCAATTCAGTATTTTAGCTGGGTTCCAATTTTCTCTGAATAAGTCAAACTAATCATCACAATTACAACAATACTGACTCTAGGTTCATGAAAAAATCAAGCAAAAAAAAAAAAAGATAAAAGGTGATGACTATCTTCTAACAGCCATTTCAGCTCAAGCATTCTTTGTCTGCCCATCTTGTGCTGAGGAACATCCATTCTAGTCCTTGAAGTTCTATATATCTGGCCACTGATATTACAGAATATGATTCTTAATGTTATTTTTCAAGATCTCATAAACTGTCTAATAAGGAATTATTAACCATCTTGTTTGCAATTCAGCCAAGATGAGCCATGTATGTCACCTGTAGATTAGATTACAACCAGCTTTCTTCCTTATAGTGAAGGATGCTTGAATGGAATGAAGAAAGCTGGATTGTATTTGAATTGTGTTTGAATGCAAACACATTGCTGATTTACAAAGCAATACAGCATAAAAGATAGAAACTTTGGTTGTTGTGATCTAAAAGAACCACTACAACAAGTGAACTTCTTAATTTGCCCAAAATTCAGAGATCCATTAATCAACCAGAGCTGCAAAGATTTTCAGGGTTGATAGAGTAGCTCACTCAAGTTAATAGAATTTACTTTTTCATTGACAAATGTAAGTCTCTCAATGTATTTGTAAACCTGAAGAGAAAATTTGGAAAGCCCAATTTTGATGGTCATTGTTTATTTTGAACATTAGTGAATAATGCCGAGCTTGCACAATATACAATTACTTTTTCAATTCTGGAAGTGAAAAATGGTACAATTATTTTGCATATGCTATTTTCTTTGTTCCATATTCTAAAAGTTATTTAAAACCTCAATAGATCTGAGGACTTCCGGTTTTGTGTGATAGTGACCGGTTGCGGGCTTGCGGATTCTCTGCACCCCTGTGGCTAATTTCGCTCTGCCTGGGAACCCTAAATGGGTCTAAGTTGCCCCGGAGAGGCGACAAAGAAAGAAGGGTGCTCCAGCAATTCTAGAATGGTGGCAACCATTCTGTTCGACTTGGGGAAAGCCTTCTAACCCGACAGGAGAAAGACTGGCCATATTGTATCGACCATCCCAAGCTACTAGCAACTGAAGTCCAAAAGCACTAACCAGCACAACTGTGAACAGCGTGCTTGAAACTGGGTGAGGATTTTGATCTTCTCTTTTCTATTCTATTTAACTTCCTGGAAAAAATGCCCAAGGAGCAAAATACCTCCGAAAGGGAAGGAGGGGGATTTCCGCCCCACCCTTATACTAATGGAAGTGGTGAATTAATCTTTTTATGGAGGATCAAAATATATGGAAGTGAAATAAATATAAAACCTGAAATTTAAAACTTAAATCTGGATAAATCTAAAATTGTTTGAATGGTTAAGACTCTCATTTTAAAGATAATTGTTTATTTTGGAAATTGAAACATAGTTGCTGACACCTAGTGGTGGATGAAGACTATGACAGCTATGACTTTAATATAAGACTTGGCAAAACTTGGGAAAAGCTCATCTGTGTTTGTGACCTTCAAAGTTTTAACAACAAAGAACAGCTGTGACAAAAAAAGACAATAATCTGGACTGTAGACAAAGAGAGAATTATAAATTTCAGAAAAAAATCTTTTTTGAACTATTTGGATTACAAATATCTGTTTAATTGGGACTCTAAAGCTTTTTGCAGAGAAAAGAAAGGAAGAGAAAAACTCAAATTCTTGGCCATCATGGATCAGAGACATGTAGAAAGAACATATCAAGAAAACATAAATACTTCAAAGGAGGAAATATATAGTATACTGCAACTAATTCAAACAACAATGACTTTAAACCACAAAGAAATCCAAAATAACTTTGAAAATATAAAACAATCTATTTCTAAGTTAACTCTACAACAAAAAAATTCCCAGAAAACAACAACAGAGAAGGAGCAGATAAAACAGATAAATGGATATAGAATTGAGAATAGAGACTTTAAAAATGGAACTTAACAAAACAAGGAAACATGATTTAATCCTAGTGGAAAAAAATTCATAAGAATTGGAAAAAACAACTTATCACTTAAGACTACAAAATAAATCTGAAGACAAGAAAATAGATTGGATAAAATGGACTGTAGAGATGTCAGGAACATCGGAGAGAAAGGAAATGGTAAGAGAAGCGGAGAGAAAGAAAAAGAAAAAAGATTTTCAACAAACGTGGAAAGTCAGAAGCCCTGTACAAAGACACTTCACCTGATTTACTTTTTATATCTACAGCAACATTTAAAACATACGGAAAAACTTTCTGATCCAGCAAAATACATTGATTAAGAAAGATACTGGGCAAAGAAAAAAGACTAAAGTGGAAACCAAGAAAATAGATGATGGGAGTTACCAGAGAGAATATTTAAAAAAGAAACATTTGTTTGACTATGGTTAAAGAAATAGAAAGGTTTTGGAGTTATGTATGTCATTCTAAGAGGGATGAATTC